AATAATAATAATAATAATAATAATAAAAGACATAAAAAAGTGTTCCAAAAAAAGTATAAAAAGTACATTCCTTTAAATTTAGGCGCCAAGATGCATAACAAATAACAAAAAACAAATAAATAAAATAAAAATAAACTTACCATGACTGTCAAAATCTTCTTATCGTCACCTTGTTTGGTGGTACAGCAGAAGAAGTTTTCTGTGCCACTGAAGTTCAGTACAACAGGAACACCTTCACAGCCCATGGTGATAGTATAATAGTAGAGGGTGATTTTTGCTGAAACAAAAAGTATTGCAAAATATATTTCAAAATGTACTTGAATCAAATCAAAACAAAGAATGATAGTTCAGTTATTTAATTTACTTCTAAATAAACTTTTCATTTGATTGCAAAAAAGTATTTACAAAATTATATTATTATATAATTAATATATACATATATATATAAACTTTATTGTATAGTATTGTTACATTTTATATTTATTACCAACCTGACATAGTGTCTTTCAAAAGCATATGCTGATTCTCTGGGGTGACATACTTTTCCATCAAGAAACTCTTAATGAACAAATTCTTTTGCTCTCTAATCTGCATCAAAATCCTTGAAGAATCTGACAAAACAGAGGAAAAATAAATTTTATGGACATCAGTTATAACATTTAAGAACTTGAATTGTATTGTCAACGAATGCAACATTTGTTTCTTACTAAAGGTAATCTCAGCTGTCGCAGGCAGGACAACAACTTCATTAAATTGGCAATTCATCCCTCCACAGCTGTTGCAAGGGCTGTCAGGATCACAGCCCCGAGCAACGATCACACTGAAGCTTGTCTCAGCCATGGAGACAAGCAGAAGATTGTCTTTACTGAAACAGTCATCCTCAATGTCCTTGTCTTCCCACTCTGGCGATGGTTGAACTCCAGTGGCTTCCAGATCTTCCTCTCTTACCATCATCACGCTGAATCTCATGACTGTCGGCTCCTTTTTACGCACATTGATTTCCTCAGATTCACATTCTTCGGTTTTCCTTTTGGGCGAATGATGTATGGTCTAAGAGAGGAGATTTAAGACCTCAGCACAGTTGATGTAAATCAAATCACACTAGCTCAGGCAGATGTTTTACTCCTCAAGCAGTTAATCAAAAACAAACCATGATGATGTAATCTCTGGAATTTAATGTTTTAAACACCCACACACATGTCCATGTGATCAATCAAAGTTTCCTGACTAGGCAAAAAAGCCCCTGTGAAAACTTCAGTTTCACTTCTCTCTTACATTTCATTGAACTGAGTAAGTAAGTGCATACGAGTGCATTAGTGTGTGTCAATAAATACAAAACTCACAAGTAAGGGGGACTCCTCAACCAGCAGCTCAGCAAATGCCTGTGGAGTCAAATCCTCTACATCTGTGTTGTTTATCATTATAACTTTATCTCCCTTGCTGAAAAAATTCAGATATAGATGAATGAACAGACAGCCAGATAGTCACACAGTTGAAGATAGAGATAGATAGATGGATGGATGGACGGATGGACGGATGGACGGACAGACAGACAGACAGACAGA